AAAAATATTTCATATAGTACATGTTGATTGTATTTAGATGCCCTCCCCTATCTGTACCTTGTTTACTACTCCTACCCAATTTCATGTTCTCTCTTTCTCTCTCTCTCTTTCTCTCTCTCTCTCTATATATATATTCACTGGACCCTGGTCAGCTTACGAAGACTTCCATTCATGAAAGAGAATCTTCTTCCCCCTTCTGGAAGCCTATGGTGGCCAATACTTCCTCGAGTATCATTGGTGTTTCTTACCAACCTCTCCATGTCTATGCTGGGATATTTTGCCTGTCTTGAACTTATGTAGGACTTGTACATGTGTCACCAGTGCTGTGATCTCGAGTTACTTCCCAATTATCTATAAATCTCAATTTCTTTGTATTTTTCCACCACCTGTGACTCTTAAAATATTTGTTTGGTATTCTGCAACAATCCCCATGGCTTCAGAGGGAGAATTTTAATATAAGTGTCTACTTGAGGATAGGTACTATGCAGTCTAATTATCTGCATATTAATCAGTTGTGAGTCTTCGTATGATTCACCATGTACTGCTGTAGGACCCCCAGACTGGGGTACCTACGTCCACGGGAGGTCGCACCCCAATAACTCAGTCCTCTAACCAGTAGATGCAATAGCATGAGGATTTATTTCGTCTATAGATGGCCTTCCACCTTGATCAAAAGGGGAAGTCCAGATTCAGCTCACAAACTTGTATTTAAAGACGGAAACCACAAAACCATAAGCAATTATTCAGGTCACAGCAGACAGCAGAAGCAGGAGTGGGAGCTTGGGCAGGGAAGCATGAAAAGGTCATCTTTTCTTTTTCTACAGTTAGAATTATTTTTTTTTTTACTTCCTTGTACAGCTTCCCAGAATATAGCCTGGGAGACTTAGTTTCAGTTCACTTTAATCTGGGGGGCTTTGATTTGATTCCATCAAGTGTGAATGTTCATGTATGTCATGACACAGGTGTGGAAGTCAGAAGACAGCTTTTGGGTGTTAGTTTTTGCTTTCCACCTTGTTGAGGCAGAATGTCTTTTGTTCCTCTCACTCTGTGTGCCCCAGGCTAGCTGACCTAGGAGCTCCTAGGTGAGGCTCTTGTCTCCACCTCTTATCTCGCAGAGGGGTACTAGAATTACAGATGTGAGCTACAGCATTTTTGTGGGTTGGTTCCAGGGATCAAACTCAGGTTGTCAGACTTGCATGGCAAGTGCTTTCACCCACTGAACCATCTTTCCAGTCCTTGCTAGATATTTTGAACTGCACTTCAACTGGAGGGCTGTGAGGTATGTTAAAAGGCAATACTATGTTGTAGTAATTCTTGTTGACAGTGTATGTTTGCATATTGCTTGCAGAATAACATCTTCAACTTCCCAGCGAGACATGTGGAGTCTTCACTGACCTCTGATGGCCTTTCGTCCTCCTTTCTGCATGGCCTTTGGAATCCTCAAGTTCCACAGAATCACGAACATTCTCTAACAACGGGTTTAGCCATCTTTACCTTACTACACCTGAAACACTTGGCTGTCTTCCCTTTGTAAGCCTTGGAGACCCCTCATCATCCCAGTTCTAGGAAAATAACTCAGAAAGAGTTCATACTGAGAGATGGATGCTCCTGGTGGGAAGGTTGGCTCTGGGACGTCCTCCTCCATGTGGTGATTCAGGGATCCGGGCACTTGGCGTCTTCAGACACTGTGGTCCTCCATTGTACCCTCTGCAGTCACTACAGAAAGGAAGGCTATAAAGGAGTGCATGTGGGAGTGGTTTTTTATTGAAGTTTTGTATATATCATACAAATAATCATCTTTGTACCCCTTTCCCCATTGGCCCCCTCCCATAGGCCCCTCACTGGAATCCGTACATTCTGTCATAGGCCTATGATGTCGTTAGTATCCCCAGGCATCCCTCAGTGCAAGATCATCCACTGAGGTCTAGTCAGCCTATCTAGAGTCCTTCCCTTTAAGAAGATCAGCGGTTTGTCTGTCTGATGGCCTTATATGCTCCCTGAACTAGATTGAACAGTCGGTTCCCCGTAGTGGAAACGTGTTGATTTGGGGAATGGGAGGTTTGTCCTGACAGGATGTTAGTGGGGGAGGTGTTAAGAGAGGGCAAAGCTGGTAGGGAATCTAGGTAACTGGGGATGGGTTTTTGAATAGGTAAAACAGGGTTGGGACCTATAGCTATTGGATAGGAGAAGGCCATTATCAGCCTGTTCCTTATACAGCCTAATTCCCCAAGAATACCCCTTGTCCCATCCTGTGGCCTTTTTGCCTGCTTCTGTGAATGTCATCCGAAGAGGATGGCACCATTTACCTTTACAGTCCTGAGTAGGAGTATTTGGGTTCTTATGAGAACAATTTGCTTTTACAATGATGTAATCCCAGGATGAGGATGGAGACCACCAGGTGTCCCCAGTTGTTTCACATCCCCAATTTTTACAGTAAAAGTAGTCTCTCCCCCCACATTTGGAGTTAAGCCACTTAGCTCGATGATTACCTGGACAGACATAGAAGGTTAAGGTACGGAGCATAGCTCGCCTTTGCCCTGATCCACATCCATAAGGAGTACTCCCCATAGTGTTAGGCATCCCCCTTCCAGGGGTGGGTTTTCAGAGGCATTTATGGGCTTAAGCCATTCTCCTGCATCCCAGGGCTTTGGTGCTCCTATAGCCAATTTACACAAATCTGGATACAAGATGGGCCACCAAGTATCCTTGGGCGCCATCTTGTGGATTTCAAATATTATAACACCCATTGGATTAATTACCCACCAGGTAGTCAGCACGGGGAGATGAGTATTTCCATAACGGGGGACAAGCCTATAAACAAATAGAATTATTAGGTATCTCTGGAGAGTCTTATTTTTAGAGGGTTGGATGTTTTGTGTAGATGCCATCTTCCAGTGTCCTCCTGGGTCGGAGCTCTCTTGACATGGGAAACGTGGATCGAAGTCGAGATCCCGTCTACTTTGAGGGCCGATGGTGTAGTCAGGAGAACTGTGTAGGGTCCTTTCCATGGTGGTTCAAGGGTCTTTACGTCGTGTATTCTTACATACACCTGATCTCCAATTTGATAGAAATGAGGAGTTTGTAGATTACCAGGCTGGTAGACTGCAGCCAAGGGCTTCCAAACCTGGTTCTGGATGATCTGGAGGGCTTGGAACCTTGTTTTTAAGCTGGGGTTATCAAAAGAAGAGGGCAAGGGGGACAAGGTTACATTGAGGACAGGAGGCGGTCTTCCAAAAAGGATTTCATAGGGGGTTAAGCCGTGCATAGTAAGAGTGTTTCTAGCCCAAAATAAGGCTAGAGGTAGAAGCTGTACCCAGTCTTTAGTGCCAGTCTCTAAAGCTAATTTGGTTAAGGTCTCTTTAATGGTTCTGTTCATTCTTTCTACCTGTCCTGAACTTTGGGGTCTGTAAGCACAATGTAATTTTCAATTAATCCCCGATGCTTTGGCCACTCCCTGACTTACCAGGGAGATGAAGGCTGGGCCATTATCAGACCCAATTACCTTGGGCAGTCCAAATTGAGGGAAGATTTCTTCAATCAGCTTTTTTACCACAGTCTGGGCTGTTTCCTTTCTGGTGGGGAAGGCCTCAACCCACCCTGAAAAAGTGTCTATGAACACTAAAAGATATTTATAACCATATTTTCCTGGAAGTACTTCAGTAAAATCTACTTCCCTGTTTGTTCCTGGTCGAGTCCCTCTTTCTCTCTTGGCAGATGGGACCTTTGACCTAGTTGCATTTACCAGGGAACATGAGACACAATCTCCCACTACCTTTTGAACTAGTTGATTGAGGTCTGGGAAGTAATAATGTTGTTCTTCTCTTTCTAATAGTGTTTTTAGTTTCTTGTGTCCCAAATGTGTCCACTGGTGGAGTTGGGAGATTAGCTCAAGTGCTGCCTCCCGGGGCAGTATGGTTCGATTCTGATATCTCTACATCTTGGTTTCGGGATCCAAGGTAGCATTAAGCTTCCGAACAAGTTCCAGGTCTCGTTCAGTGTAGGTAAAAAGAGCTTCTCCCTCTTTTTCCTGTGCCTCCATTTCAGCCTTAAGGTCTATTCTGCTTTCTTTGCCTGTTTCTTCATCTCAGCCTTAAGGTCTGCATGTGTGTAAAGAATGTATGTACCTTCTGCTGCCTGACGGGCAGTTTCATCCACCATCCGATTGCCTCAAGCAATTGGCCCCTGGTCTCGTTGATGTCCAGGGCAATGAATTATGCTGACCTGTTTTGGCAAGTATAAGGCTTGTAGAAGGGCCACTATTGCTTTTTTGTTTTTGATGTCCTTACCAGCCGAGGTGAGGAGTCCCCGCCTCTGGTAAATTTCCCCATGTATATGGGCAGTGGCAAATGCGTAGTGGCTATCGGTGTAAATGTTGACCTTTTTGCCCTTTGCTAATTTTAGGGCCCGAGTTAGGGCTTCTAATTCAGCTCGCTGAGCTGATGTTCCAGCCGGCAGGGCTTGGGCCCAGATTATCCTTTCCCCATCGACCACCGCCGCCCCCACCTTACACTCACCATCTCGTAGAAAGCTGTTCCCATCCGTATACCAAGTGGCATCTGCATCTGTTAAGGGCTGGTCAGTGAGGTCTTCCCTGGGCCCATGTGTCTCTGCAAGTATTTGCTGGCAGTCATGGGGAATCTCAGTGCCTTTCTCGGTGGCTGGTAGCAGCGTGGAGGGGTTTAGGGTGGCAGGGCTACCAAACTTGATCTTTTCTGGATTTAATAGTAGTGCCTGATAATGGGTCACCCTGGCATTTGACAACCATCTGTCAGGAGGCTGTCTAATGATGGACTCCACTGCATGAGGTGTTATGACAGTTAGGGGCTGACCCATAGTAAGTTTGTCTGAGTCTTTAACTAGGGAGGCTATTGCCACCATGATTCTCAAACATGGGCGCCAGCCAGCGGCCACATTTTCCAGTTTCTTTGAGAGATAGGCTACTGGCCTTTTCCAGGGTCCCAAAGTCTGAGTAAGGACTCCTTTTGCCATCCCTTTATTTTCATCTATATATAAGATGAAAGGTTTTGTCAAGTCTGGCAATCCCAGAGCTGAAGCCGTCAGCAGTGCTCTTTTTATTTTGTCAAAGGCTCTCTGGTGTTCAGTCCAGACGAAAGGAGTCCCATTCTTTGTCAAAGGATATAGAGGAGCCGCTATTTCAGCGAAACCTGGTATCCATAATCTACAGAATCCTGTGCTTCCCAAGAACTCTCTGAGTCTTCTGGCTGAGGTTGGTGGGGGGATAGAGGCTACTGTCTGTTTTCTGATTTCTGTCAGCCAACATTGCCCCCCCTCCAACCTATAGCCCAAATAGTTCACCTGCTGTAGGCAGATCTGGGCTTTCTTTGCTGAGGCCCGGTATCCAAGTTCCCCCAGTCTCAGTAGGAGAGCCTCCGCACCTTGAAGACAGCCAACTTCTGTTTCAGCTGCTAAGAGGAGGTCATCCACATAATGAAGAAGCATAATCTGTGGGTTTCTTACCAGAAAGTCAGCCAGATCACGGTGTAGAGCTTCATCAAACAGAGTAGGGGAATTCTTGAACCCTTGGGGAAGTCGTGTCCAGGTTAGTTGCCCCGATATTCCAGCTTCAGTGTCCTTTTATTTAAAAGCGAAAATGGGCTGGCTACCCGGGCTTAATCTTAGGCAGAAAAATGCATCCTTCAGGTCAAGAACAGTATACTACCTGTGACTGGGAGGCAAGGTACTCAGGAGATTGTAAGGATTTGCAACAGTGGGATGTATATCCTCTATCCTTCGATTGACTTCTCTTTAGTCTTGGACTGGTCGGTAGTCATTTGTTCTTGGCTTCTTTACGGGGAGCAGTGGGGTGTTCCAAGGGGACTGGCAGGGGCAAAGTATGCCTACTTGTGAAAGTCTCTGAATATGAGGTCTGATACCTTCTCGGTTCTCTTTGCTCATAGAGTATTGTCTGATTGAAACCGGAGCTGCAGATGGTTTTAGTGTGAACACTATTGGAGGCTGATTGCATGCCAGTCCTGGGCCTCCTGTCTCAGCCCATGCTAAAGGAATCTTATTTAGCCAATCGGATATACCAGGAGTTTCTGCTATCGGTCCCTCATATAACCGATGTTCATCTTCCAGTCGCAGAGTTAATACCTGTAGTGGAGCTCCATCTTTTCCTTGTACAGTGGCTCCTTTTCTGGTGAAGTGGATGTGGGCTCCAAAATTGGAGAGTAAGTCTCCCCCAAGGAGGGGATATGGACAGTCTGGGACCAGTAAGAATGAGTGGGAGACCTGTCCTGTACTGAGGTCCACTCTTCTTTCTGTGGTCCACCTATATGTCTTTCCTCCAGTAGCTCCTTGGACCCAGGCTGTTTTGGAACTCATGGGTCCCTTGGTTGTTGTCAAGACTGACTGTTGGGCTCCTGTGTCTACCATGAAGGTAGTTAATTGCCCCCCTATCTTCAGAGTTACCCTGGGCTCAGGGGGGGAGCTCCTGGCCCCGACTCCCTTAGTCCCCTAGAGTCAGGACTGGGGTTGTCTTTTTTTTGAAGTCTATTCAGCTTCTTTGGGCATTTTCGAGCCCAATGTCGTCTCTCCTTTCAGTAAGCACATTGATCTTTGTCCACTCGGGGTCTTCTTTTGTCTCCCAGGTCCCTACCTGGTCCTGCTCCCCGAGCTACTGTGGCCAAAATTTGACTCAACTCTTTGTTTTTTTTCTCTCTCCTATCTTCTCTGGCTTCCTGTTCTTTTCTAATTCTGTCCTCTCTTTCCTCTAAGGTCTCTCGCTTATTGTAGATTTTTTCAGCTTCTCTTACTAAATCCTGTAAAGAGTACCCCTGAAGGCCCTCCAGCCGTTGGAGCTTACCACGGATATCAGGAGCTGATTGTCCTATAAAGGCCATAATAAGGTCTGCCTGACTCTCCTGGGCTGTGGGATCAAAAGGGGTATACATCCGATATGCCTCTATCAAACATTCTAAAAATCCTGTGGGGGTTTCATTTTTTCCCTGGGTTATAGCACGTACCTTTGCCAAATTGGTTGGGCGCCTTCCGGCCCCTTTGAGACCCGCTAACAGAGTCTGGCGATAAAGACGGAGATGCTCCCTACCTGCCACAGTTTCAGGGTCCCAGCTGGGTCTGGTCAGAGGAAATCCTGCATCTATTTCATTTGGGAGCAGAGTGGGTCTCCCATCCTGCCGACAATCTTCCCAAGTGGGTTGGTGGGTAAGGAGAATAGACTCAATTAAAGCAGTTAAAGCCTGAGGGTCCTGAGAAAAAGAGGGGTTATGAGTTTTCCAATTATACAAGTCAGAGGCTGAAAAAGGCCAATACTGGATCTGATCCCCTACAGTTCGGAGAGGAAGAAACTGGGCAGTCCCGGTTCCATCAGAGGGGCCCCCTCCATCTCTTCTCAGGCAGAGTCTACTAGATGGTGGGGAGGAGTGATTGGGTTCAGTGGAATCAGGAGATGGATGAGGTAGTTCTTGGGGTAGAGGTGCCTGCGCAGGAGGATAAGGAGGTGGGGGATCAAGGAGGGTTAGGGAAGCTGGGTCATCGGGGAGGACTGGTTTCTGCTTCTTCTTCTCAGAGGAAGACTGAAGGGGCAGGGAGGAAGTGAGACTTAGGGGTGCAGAAGGGGTAGGGGGGCCCTGATCATTCTCTCCGGTTCCCCGAGGAGGTAGGAATGGTCGTGCCCAAGATGTGGGGTTCCGAGCCAAATCTTCCCAGGTGACTATGTAGGCCACCTGGTCCGGGTGCCCGTGTGGCCCTGGATGGAAAATGTATTCCTTAACCTGCAAAATAGTAGCAAGATCAAAAGTCCCAACCCTTGGCCATCCTTTTTCAAAGGAGGGCCACGTAGAGGAACAGAGACTTTGCCACTTCTTCTTCTGGACTTCCAATGATAAATTACGGGCTCGTTCTATAACTTCCTTCCAGTGTTCTAGAGTTAAACTCAAGGGGGTAATTAGTGATTGACCCATGGTGAAGGGCTTTTAAGAGAGAAATGGAGAAAGGGAGAAAGAGAGAAGGAGAGAGGGAGAGCAAGAGAGAGAGAGAGAGAGAGAGAGAGAGAGAGAGAGACAGGTGCCACTCCAAACAGTAATGACCAGTGAGTGTGCTTGTGGATGAGTACCTATCGGTGCCCAGGTTTTCTTCTGCGGGGGACGTGAATTTATCTGAGATTCACACCTGGGGCCCCCTTATACTTTCACGGGAGTCTTTTAGTGGTGAGCGCCCTGTGCCTCTTACTTGCTCGACCCGTGCCCATGGGGCTTTTTAGTGGCTAGAGAGAAAGGAAGATATAGACAGATCATCCTGTCTCCACCCATGTGGGCAGTCAGGGTCCGTCAAGAGGGCTAAGAGCCTTTGGTTTACATCAGGGAGTGGCTTATTTCAACTTTCTAAGTGACTCTCTTGTGATTGTATATACATGTATACAGGTGAGCACGCGCTGGGCTCTCGGGGTCCCTGCGCGCACTCTCGGAATGGCATGGCGGGTCCGCAGGCTTCTCTGCCATGTGCCTGGAGAATGGCAGGTGTGGCCCCGCAGGCTTCTCCGTGTCTCTGTGGGTCTCTGCTGCTGGAGCATTGTCCAGCCGTGTACCGCCCTTATTTCACCCGTGTACTTTCCTCAGGATGCGAGGTCCACTGGCCACTGGACTGCATGGGAAAAGTGCGAGGATGGCAAAAGCTAGGGTGTCCGCAAGTCGGTGATGGAGGAATGTGCTCCCCGGAGAGGCTGGGTCACCGGTAGTAAGACACAAGACTCAAGACTTAGCTTAGTCCGTGTTACAGCTTTTATTAAGTGTCTCTGCTCCAGCTCCTTGCTGTGCAGCTCTCTGTGACCCAGCTCTCTAATTATTGAGAGAAGACTGGGATATTTTTACCATGGGGGTAGTGGTAAAAGCTTTGGCTGATAGATACTTTGTGAAACATTCTATTTACATATGGAAGTGGGTTTCTGCCATGCTGCCAGACTGCTGACTGCCTGGAAAATCACACAGGAAAGCATGGTATTCCTAGAGCATGAGGCCATGTTTATGTTGGGGCATTTGTGGTGGGCACTTCAAAAGTAGAGTCAGGAAAAATGCCAGGAAGTCACCCTGTTATGAAAGGAGCCTCAGCACATAGCTCCGAGCTTCGTGAGCTATCTGGATGTGAAGAGACTTCTACTTTACATAACAGAGGTCCCCAACACATGTACTGCTGTATTTTTCATATATTTTCTAATTTATTTTTATTGAATAAATTTTGTCATTCAGTTTTGATTTCATCTCCCTCTTTTACTCTGTAGGCTTTTATTTTTGTTCTTTTGAAGGTTTCTCAATGTTGGAAATTTTATCCATGCATATTACATGTTCTTTGTGGATATGTGAGTGTGTGATTGTCTCAGCCTTATTCCCCATATTGAAATGTTTTCTTCTGTTTTAACTTGCCTGGAGAACTGAACTCTTAGAAGACATCAGAGGGTGTATAACATACAGAAACCCTACAAGTCTGAAGAATGTGTCAAGTCCAATACCCATGCCTCAAATCTAAGAAAGCATAAATATATTCATACTGGAGAGAATCCCTACAGATGTGAAGAATGTGACAGGTCATTTATTTGGATGTCAAGTTTCAAATTACTTTAGCATGCTGGATAGCTTTAGTGTCAACTTGACACACCTAGGTTGAGGGAGCCTCAATTGGGGAATTTCCTCCATTGGACTGGCCTGTGGCCGTGTCTGAGGGGCATATTCTTGATGAGTAATATGGGAGGGCCCAGCCCACTGTGGGTGGTGCCACCCCTGGGCAGGTGGGCCAGTGTTGTATAAAAAAGCAGGCTGAGGAGGGACCAGGGAAGCAAGCCAGTAGGCAGTGTTCCTCCACCGCCTGTGCTCCAGCTTCTGCCTCCAGGTTCCTGCCTTGAGTTCCTACCTTGGACTCCCAGATGAACTGTGACCGGGGATATATAAGACAAATAAACACTTTCCTCCCCAAGTTGGTATTGGTCAGATTGTTTTGTCACAGGAATGGAGAAACAAACTAAAACAATCAGAGAGGTCATACTGGGGAGAATCCATACAGATGTGAAGAATGTGACAGGTCTTTTATTTGGCTGTCAAGTTTCAGATTACATTAGAGAGATGTAATTACTGGAGAGAAACCCTACAAATGTGGAGAATGTGTCAATCCTTTAGTCAATTGTCAAGTCTTAGAGCACATCAGTGAATACATATTGTAGAGAAACCCTACAGATGTGAAGAATGTGGTAAGTCCTTTAGCATATGTCAGATCTTAGTGCACATCAGTGAATACATACTGGAGAGAACCCCTACAGATGTGAAGAATGTTGCAAGTCCTTTAGATATATATCAGGTCTTAGAGCACATCAGGGAATACAAACTGGAGTGAAACCCTGCAGTTGTTAAGAATGTGGAAAGTGCTTGAGGCATATTTCAGTATTTAGAGCACATCAGCAGATACATATTGGAAAGAAACCCTACTGATGTGAATAATGTGACAAATCATTTAGTGGAATGGCAAACCTTAGAGCACATCAGTGAATGCATACTGGAGAGAAACTCTACAATATTAAGAATATGGCAAGTCCTTTAGTCAAATGTCACATACTGGAGAGAAACTCTACAGATGTGAATGTGGCAAATCCTTTATTCTGAGCTCAACTTACAAGACACATAAGAGAATTCCTATTTGAGAGAATCCCTATAAAGTGAGGAATGTCAGAAGTCCTTTAAAAAAATCTTAGATTAAATCACATCATGTAATTCATACTTGAGAGAAACTCTACAAATGTCAAGCATGTGACAAGTCATTTTGTCAGATTGAATGTTTCATCAGAGAATTCATACTGGAAAGTACCCATTCTGATGGGAAGAATGTGAAAAACTGAGAGCTCAGCACATAGAAGACATGAGAGAATTCATACTGGAGAGAAACCCCACAGTGGAAAGGGTTTGAGAAGTCCTGTACTTGTATTTCAACTCTTAGAGAACATCAAAAATTTACAATAAATGGAGATAGTGCACACATAAAGAATGTGGCAACTCCTTTAATAATATGTCAAATGGTGGCAGTTATCAAAAACGCATACTAAAGAGATAATTTACAATTTATTTACCATTTATTATGGTACTTCCTTTACCCTTGGGTCAATCCTTAGGAAACAAAGCAGAATCCATACTAGAGGGATATATCTAAAAGTCTGGAAAATGCCCAAATGCTTATATTGATATATTACAGAAATGCATAGTGTACTGAAGGACAAGTTAAAATTAAGCAGAAAATTGCAAAATCTAATAAAAATTTATTTTTAATTCATAAGTATTGTTAGGGTCCGTGACTCA